CCAATGCTGCTTCCTCGCTGAATAGGCTTGGCCATGTCACAGAACCTCTCTGAGCCTCGGTTTCCTCATTTGTAAAATGGGGATGATTCCTACCTTGTATTGTTGCGAATATTTGCATAAATGCACACGGAGTACCTAGCACAATGCCTGGCACATAGGAGGTACTCCCTGAAGGGTGCTCTCCCATCCTACTCGCGGTCCATGGTGCCTAGACCAGGGATAACTTGTTTGCTCCGTTTGGTTTATCTTTGATTTTCCCACAGCGCCTAGCGTGGCACCTTACACAGAGTAGAGCTGCTCCGGGATATGGCTGCTTGGATGCAAAACTGGAGAGAGCCCGAGAGGGAGAAGCATGCAGAACTGCATGATCACACATGAGAGCTCTCCTCCCATGGGCCCTCGAGGCCGATCTCCGAATCCCCCATTGCCTCCGTCTCCTCAGAGGTCAGACTCAGTGGCAGCTTCTCCTAGAGGGCTCCCAGAAATGGGAGCTTGCAGCAGCAGAGGTTTCTAATGCAATCACTGACAATGAAAAGGTTCTTCTTCCCCGAGCCTAGAGTGAGTCAGAGCTCCGTGCTTGGCTTTGCCCCAGGGAGTGCCGAGAAAATAAAATATTGTCTGTATCCTCATGACACCTAAACAAATGGTCAACTCCATGGGTCAGACATCAGCCAGGGCAGGTGAAGGGATGGGAGGAACAGCAAGGAAAGAACCATTAATTAGCAAAGGTTGCTTTAGTGGGGTCCTGGTACGTGGCTCCTATTAAGGCTAGTACCTGTTTGGCTTATGGTGGGATGTTTGTTTCATCTTCGTGAAAGACACCAGTAAATGACAACATGCCTGAAATCTACACTCTTTGAACCTCTGGACGTGGCTCAATAATCTCTTCCACATCCTGACGCCTGAATCAAGACATAAGTCCTTATCTAGGTAACATACTTTTCTCTTTCAAAGCAAGTATCAACCAACTCTGAATCTCAGGTTTGCTCTTTTTTCTTTTCCTGGCCTTTTGCCACCATAGAAAAATGTCTGATAGGCTGAGTTTTCACACTGCAGCTGGTTGCTGTGATTATGGAGGCACAGCCTTTGTAAATTCAATGGTGTGTTGCTGGCTGTTCAATAGCTGGTGAGATTAGTGCCCAGGGAAGTGGGAAATGGGCCACCACCATCGAAACGTGGGCTCGGAGCTTGCTCTTCACTCTGTCCCACTCTTTCTCTCCCACATCCCTGCCTTTGTGTTAATTGCCAGCTTCTGCCAACTTACAGGCATTCTCTTCCTCTTCCCACTCCCCCTTGGGAATGAACCAGTTCAAGAGAAGCACCATCACCCTAGACTTGACAAGACATGAGAATGGCAGGAACTGAGTGTGTGACACTCCACTCCTACCACCATTGTAAATGAAGGGGAGAAAGGACAGCAAGGTGGCCTTCAGGGGCCACTTTATCCAGCAAGGGAAGCTGATTACCTGGATCTAGACGACTTCAAAAGACCATCTGGCCCAACCCCTATCTCCAGACAGATAGCTCATGAGCCACCCAGGACCAAGGACAATCTCCCCTCTTCATAAAGATCCCAGAGAGAGGGCTGCCCAAGTTGTCCCAGTCTCACACCCCAATGTTTAAGTCATGAGTAGCTGTCCTGTGTGGCTTCCCTCTAGGGCAGAGGAAGGAGCACTGCTCTGTGGACCAGGGAAACCGTGTTTGATAGCCAGCTCTGCACCTGACTAGCTGTGGGAGCATACCAATTCCCACTGCCTCCTGGGCCACCTCCAAAATGGAAAATGGGGGAGAAAGGGTTCTAATAGCTCTTGAAGAGTGAAGTCATTATAAATCTGTGAACCTCTTATTTTAAAATATTCAAAAACAACTTAAGCCAGTTTAATTAAAATAGAAGAAATCTGTTTTCAGGCCTGTCTCTACCACATATATCTTCATCTCAGGGAATCCCTTGAAATTATGTGCTTTGTGCATTTGGAGTCTGTGCATTTTGGTGGAAAAGATTAAAACCTGAGGTGTGTAATTACCTACCCTACCCCAAGGAAAATATATTAAAAAATCAAAAGAAATTCAGAACCTTCCTCTAGGTTGAGGAGCTTAAATGCCAATCACCCTGAGTGACTTTCTGGTTCCCTGGCTCTGAATATCAGGTTATGGTGATTATCAAGGGGAGAGGTGGGAAGCTCTAGAGGCAGGCTTGTGGACAGGAGTAAGAGAAGGCATCAGGCTTTACTTTTCAATCTCCAGCTGTCACTGCCCATTGCTCTGTCCTATGTCTACTAGTCATATGACCTCCGGCATATACAAACTCTCTGTGAATCAGGGTTTTCTCATCAATCAATGGAGAATGGTTATACTTCTCTCAGAGGATTGTTGTGAAGAATAAACGAAAGTGAGTCAAGTGCTTGGCTATCAGTAGAAGCTCAATAAATGTGGGTTCCCTCCAAGCACTAGTAGCTGAGGGTCCCCAAATTTACTACGTGGAAGACTGTTCCTTCTATAACTATCAATCCACCCCCTATATCAAGTTTAAATTGGCACCGTCACTATGGAAAACAGTATGGGAGTTCCTCAAAAAATTTAAAATAGAATTACCATATAACCCAGCAAGCCCACTTCTGGGTATATATCCAAAACAAATAAAAACAGGAACTCAAAGAGGTAGCTGTACTCCATGTCCATTGCATCATTATTCTCAATAGCCAAGATACAGAAACAACCTAAGTGTTCATCAGCTGATGGATGGATAAAGAGGACGTGGTGTATATACAGTGAAATATTCAGCCATGAGAAGGAAGGAAATCCTGCCATTTGCAACAATCTAGATGAAACTCCAAGGCATTATGCTAAGTAAAATAAATTAGACCCGAAAAAAAGACAAATGCTCTATATCACTTATATGTGGAATCTAAAAAAGCTGAACTCATAGAAACAAAAAGTTGAGTGGTGGTTACCAGGGGTTGGGAAAGTGGAATGGGGAGATGTTGGTCAAAGGGTACAAACTTCCGGTTATAAAATGAATAAGCTCTGGGGATCTAATGTACAGCATGGTGATTATAGTTAATAACACTGTACTGTACACTCAAAAGTTGCTAAGAGAGTGGATGTTAAAAGTTCTCACCACAAAAAGAAATGGTAATTATGTGACGTGATGGAGGTGTTAGCTAACACTATGATGGCAGTCATTTTGCAATTTATAAGTATATCAAATCAACATGTTATATACCTTAAATTTACACAATGTTATATGTCAATTATATCTCAATAAATTTGGAGGGGAAAAAAGCCACCTCCTACCTTGCTTCTGGGAGAAAGATGTGACACAGCAGCTAAGTGTTCAACTTGGCATAGACCAATGGTTGGGTTCAATTCCCAGCTCCTCTGCTTGATGGCTATGTGGACTTGAGCAGAGTTAAACTTTGCTATAGCTTAGTGTCACATTCATAAAATGGAAAGGATAATCAGAACAGTTTTTCCTTCATATGCAAAGAGTACTCGGGACACTGTCTGAGACACATGTTGAGTATTGGATAATTGTTTTTGAGTCTATATCTTCTCTTCTAAGTACCATCTGCCCACCTTTGGGAGTGTGTCCCTATAGCTGAATGTCCAATGTGGATAACAGATAGAAGGGGGGGAAATCAACAAATAATCTAGATTCCCCAACTCCCTACCCCCGATGACTGAAGGTCTCTTACCCCCACCACCACCATCCTCACCCCCAGATAGCCCACTAGCTTGTTCCTCATTTCTTTTAGGTCTTGACTCAAATGCCGTTTCAGTGACATCCTGAGCACCCATCCAAAATTGCAAATGCCACCCCTCCCCCACACCATTCCATTTCCACCCCCTACTTGCTTCATTTTCTCTGTTGTATCTGTCAGCATAGGACACACCTCACGATTTGCTTACTTTTTTTAAAGACCGTCTCCTCCCACTAGAATGTAAGCTCCTGGGGGGCAGGGGTCTTTGTCTACTTGGTTCAATTGCTATGCCCACTGCGTCTAGAACAGAACCCAGGGCGGGCTGTGGGTACTTAGTTAACAATCTGTTGTATGAATGAGTGAGTGTCTGAGTGAGTAAGTGCCTGAATGAATGAATGAATGAATGAATGAATGAATGAATGAATGAGTGCAGAGAAGCCCTATTTTTATTTTCATGGGGAAGTAAAGGATGGGGGTTGGTCTCAGATCTGACTCAAGTCCCTCCCACCTGCCTAACCTGCTAATTCTTCCTCTTTTAGGTGCCGCACAAGTTGCATAGCCCCCTAAATCTGGGGGTTGACTCCAGAGCCCACCTATTAGAGGTAAGCACCCCCACCCCACTTTTTAAAATGAAGAGTGAATAGGAGGGAAAGCAATCCCAGCGGGCCACCTCGGGGTGGGGGTAGGGGCCCCCCAAGCTCAAGTCGCTCTTCCTGCCCAC